GAGGAGGAAAGTGTACTGCAGAGGGCTGAAAGAGCTATGGTGAGGATGATGTGTGGGGTTAAAGTGAAGGATAGGAGGAGTAGTACAGAGCTGATGTCAATGATGGGACTGAATGAGGACATTGTGACATTGATAAGGAGATCGAGATTGCGGTGGTATGGACATGTGTTGAGAAGGGATGAAAGGGTCGGGATTAGGCGAGCGTTGGAGTTCGAGGTTGAAGGAGTGGTAGGAAGGGGTCGTCCGCGATTGGGATGGAGAGAGCAGGTGTAGAAGGACAGGGTGAAAGCGGGGTTGCGTGATACTGAGGCGAGTGACAGATGTGGATGGAGTCGAGGGGTATTTCGGTTTCATCATAGGCAGCCAAACGGCAACCCCCGATCTCGGGGAAAATGCCGTCTAAACGTGTGTTGTTGTTGTTTGTTGTATAACCGTATATATCACAATATAACTATATATAATCAATAACACTATATAACTTTATGTAAATCTATATAACCGTGTATAACACTATATGACTATCTATATTTAACAACTCTACATAACTATATATAAATCTATATAAAAGTATATATCACTATATAACTATATAAAATCAATAACTCTACATAACTATATATATAAATCTAGATAACCGTATATTACACTATATGACTACATATAAATGTTTATAACCGTATATATCCTTATATAAATATGTATAATCAATAACTCTACATAACTATATATAAATCTATATAACCATATATAACACTGTATAACTTTATATAATTAATAACTCAACATTACTATGTATAAATCTATATAACCTTCTAACTACCACTAGATTAATCTAGTTTATCTAATCGCCTCAGAGGCTCTAAACTATTTATCGCTAAGCGCACAAGTTTGGGGATTGTCACAAACTATATATAAATTTATATAACCGTATATATCACTATATAACTAAGTATAATCAATAACTCAACATAACTATATATAAATCTATATAACCGTAAATTTCACTATATAACTATATATAATCTAAAACTTTTCTTAACTATATATAAATTTATCTAACATAACTATATTTAAATCTATATAACCGTATATAACACTATATAACTATATCTAATCAATAACTTTACATATCTCTATATAAATCTATATAACCGTATATGACACCTTATAACTATATATAAGTAATAACTCTACGGAACTATATAGAAAATATATATAACCGTTTATATAAATATATAACTATATATAATCAATAGCTCTACATGACATTATATAAGTCTATATAACCGTGTATAACACTATAAAACTATATATAATCAATAACACTATTCAACTATATATAAATCTATGTAACCGTATATAACACTATATTACTATATATAATCAATAACTCTACATAACTATATATAAATCTATATAACCGTATACATCATAATATAACTATATCTAATTAATAACACTACATAACTATATTTAAATCTGTATAACCTTCGAACTACTACTAAACTAAACTGGTTTATCTAATCGCCTCAGTGGCTCTAAACTATAAAGCGCTATGCGCCCAAGTTTTAGGATCGTCACAAACTATATATAAATCTATATAACCGTATACATCACTATATAACTATATATAAAGCCACCTGTATAAATTAATACTTTCCCAAAAAAGATCAAAACGTTTAATTTTTAACCTCAAACCCGATTCTCATACTAAACACTTCTTCCAAGCCAAAAAAAATTTTACCGGTTAACTTCATCTGTCTTTACTACTCTGCTTTATTCGTTTTTAAATTTATCAACAATCTTCTCCCACCTCACTTTATCAACTTCTACACATTAAGTAACTCCGTTCAATCTACAACCACTAGACACACCTCTCTCTTCTATATCTACAAAACTCGCCTCAAATTAATCCAGACCAGCATTAAAACAACAGGTCCTAAAAATTGGACAGAACTTGTACCTCCCCATCTAAGAGCCATCATAAACCTACAACATTTCAAGTCATAATTCCGTGCTTTTTTATTGACACTGGATCTCGACTCCACCACCTAATATTATATTAAGAATACGTTAAAACAAATGCGGATTAATGGTCTTTATGAATGGTTAAACATTTATGTGTTTATATATGTACTGAGCGAACATTTATATAAATATATGTCTATATATGTATGACACGAATATTTACTTATTTATCTTCAATTATCTTTTTGCTTCAGTTATTTTCCTTATTTTATTTCATTAACTATTCATGTATCTACCTGCGGTGGCCACCACAAAACAAACAGTCTTATTCGATCTCCGCATATTCAACTTCATAAATTTTATTCACTTATTTGATATGTTGTTGATTATGAATAAAACTTTGAAAATGAAAAATGAAATAATCAATAACTCTACATAACTATATATAAGTCTATATAACCGTATATAACATATTATAACTATATATAATTAATAACACAACATAACTATATATTAATCTATATAACATTCGAACTATTACTAAACTTAACTGGTTTATCTAATCGCCTCAGTGGCTCTAAACTATTAAGCGGTAAGCGCATAAATTTTAGGATCGTCACAAACTGTATATAAATCTTTATAACCGTATATACCACTATATAACTTAATATAATCAATAACTCAACATAACTATATATAAATTTATATAACCGTATATCTCACTATATAACTATATATAATTTATAACTCTACAGAACTATATATAAATTTATCTAACCGTTTAAATCACTATATAACTATATATAATCAATAAAACTATATAAATATAGATAACCGTATATAACACTATATGACTAGATATATTCAATAACTCTACATAACTATATATAAATCTATATAACCGTAAAAAACACTATATAACTATATCTAATCAATAACTCTACATAACTCTAAATAAATCTATATAACCGTATATAACACCATATAACTATATATAATTAATAACTCTACGGGACTATATAAAATTATATATAACCGTTTATATAAATATATAACTATGTATAATCAACAGCTCTACATGACATTATATAAGTCTATATAACCGTATATAACACTATGAAACGATATATAATCAATAACACTATATAACTATATATAAATCTATATAACCGTATATAACACTATATGGCTATATATAATCAATAACTCTACCTAACTATATATAAATCTATATAACCGTATATAACACTATATGACTATATAAAACCATTAACTGAACATAACTATATATAAATCTATATAACCGTATATATCACAATATAACTATATATAATCAATAACACTATATAACTATATGTAAATCTATATAACCGTGTAGAACACTATATGACCATATATATTCATTAACTCTACATAACTATATTTAAATCTATAAAACCGTATATAACACTATATAACTATCTATATTGAACAACTCTACATAACTATATATAAATTTATATAACAAAATTTATCACTATATAACTATATAGAATCAATAACTCTACATAACTATATATATAAATCTAGATAACCGTATATTACACTATATGACTACATATAAATGTTTATAACCGTATATATCCTTATATAACTATATATAATCAATAACTCTACATAACTATATATAAATCTATATAACCGTATATATCACTATAAAACCATATATAATCTAAAACTACATTACAATAAAAAATCAATAACTCTACATAACTATATATAAATCTATATAATCGTATATATCACTATATAACTTTTTATAATAAATATTTCTACATAAGTATATATAAGTCTATATAACCGTATATAACACTTTATAACTATATATAATTAATAACACTACATAACTATATATAAATCTATATAACCTTCGAACTACTACCAAACTAAACTGGTTTATCTAATCGCCTCCGTGGCTCTAAACTATTAAGCTCTAAGCCCCTTAGTTTTAGGATCGTCACAAACTATATATAAATCTATATAACCGTATATATCACTATATAACTATATATAATAAAGAACTCTACATAACTATATATAAATTTATATAACCGTATATCTCACTATATAACTATATATAATCTATAACTCTACATAACTATATATAAATTTATCTAACCCTTTATATCACTATATAAATGTATATAATCAATAACTCTATATAACTTTATATAAATATATATAACCGTATATATCACTATATTACTATATATAATCAATAACACTATATAACTATATGTTTATCTATATAACCTTATATAACACTATATAACCTTCTAACTACCACTAGATTAAACTGGTTTATCTAATCGGCTCAGTGGCTCGAAACTATTAAGCGCTAAGCGTACAAGTTTTGGGATTGTCACAAACTATATATAAATCTATATAACCGTATAAATCACTATATAACTAATTATAATCAATAACTCTACATTACTATATGTAAATCTTCATAAACGTATATATCACCAAATAACTATATATAAACAATAACACTAAAGAACTATTTATAAATCTATATAACCGTATATAACACTATATAACTATATAAAATCAATAACTCTACATAACTATGTTTAAATTTTTATAACCGTATATAACACTTTATAACTATATATAATTAATAACTCTACGGAACTATATATAATTCTATATAACCGTATATATCACTATATAACTATATATAATCAATGGCTCTACATAACTTAATATAAGTCTATATTACCGTATATATCACTATATAACTATAAATAATCAATAACACTATATAACTGTATATAAATCTATATAACCGTATATGACAGTATATGACTATATATATTCAATAACTCTACATCACTATATATAAATCTAGATATTATCTAGTTGAAAAAAGGTGCTGGATTAGGATGAACAGTATATCCACCATTAGCAGCTATAAGATAAAAAACAATTTATTGGTAAATTACTACCAGACGGAGCACCAGACTGACTTAACCCATTTTTAGTTCTAATTGAAACAGTAAGAATTTTATTGCGCCCACTTACACTCTCATTTCGATTAGCCGCAAAAATAAGAGCCGGGCACATCGTACTAAGACTACTGGGAAGATCAAATTGAATTAATTGTGTTCTTATTATTCAGAATTATAATTGGTGGTGCAGTAGGATTAAATCAAACTGATGCAAAAACAATCCTTGCCTATTTATTAGGCAAGGTTATATATATATGATTATGAAAATCACCATACTCATAAGATCAGTATCATTGATGCCCAATAGTTTTAACAGTGATAAATGGATTAAATGACTCATCAAAATGCCCAATAGTTTTAACAGTGATAAATGGATTAAATGACTCATCAAATTGTTCAAACTGTTTCAATTTCTTGGGCTTCATGGGTAAATCGATAAGATATATATAATAAGATAAAAAACCCTAAATTTATTAGGGGTTTTTTATCTTATTATAAATATATATATTCATATATATATATATATATATATATATATAAACATCATTGAAGATATATATCTTCTTATATCTATCTTCAATGATGTTTGTATTAAAGAAAACCTCGTTCCAAAATATATATATATATATATATGTGTGTGTGTGTGTGTGTGTGTGTGTGTATATGTATGCAAATTTTTTGAAAATTTATGTGAGTTTTTGGGATTGAATTTTTGCGTTTAAAGAAATTTTTAATTTTGTTCCGACACGGTTTTTTTTGAAAATTTATTAGAGGTTTTTCATGAAAATTTTTGAAAAATGGCAAAAATGACAAATAATTACCTAGATGGTGATTTTAGGCTGACAGACTACTGTTATTATTTAACTAAAATCTTATGTTTTTAATCATTTGATAAAATTTTTTAATTGAATAGCTTCAATGGCAATTGGTATAAATCTATGGTTTACACCGCAAATTTCTGAGCATTGTCCATAATAAACTCCTGGTAATAACACTATAAATGTTGATTGGTTTAGTCGTCCAGGGATAGCATCTATTTTTACATCTAGTGATGGAATTGCTCAAGAATGAATAACATCTGCTGCTGTTAACCTCTTAGTTTGTATATCGTTTGCGGCCCCAAACATAAAGTATAAAGTTCCAATGTCTTTGTGATTTGTTGAGTAGAGTCATCGCATAAATAATGAAGAGTATTGGTGTGAATATTAGCCTAGTTACTATTGTGATAAAGATAATTTTGTCTATAGTTAAACAGTATACCATATCTTTTTTTGTTATCAAGATAAATGGATTAAATGACTCATCTATTAGATATAAAAGGCGGATTGATGGTAGAGCTAAGAATACTAGTACAATTGCCGGAAAAATTGTTCAAACTGTTTCAATTTCTTGGGCTTCATGGGTAAATCGTCTTACATACTTATTAGAGAGGGAGGTAACTAGTATGTTACTAGTATTCGTTGTGATGCAAATGTTCCTTACAAAATAAAAATAAATAGAATTAGAGATACTATAGAAATAGTAGACCCAATTGATGAAATAACATTTCACATTATTAAGGCGTCTGGGTAGTCAGAGTATCGTCGTGGTATCACACTAAAACTTAATATGACTATATGACTATATATAATCAATAACTCTACATAACTATATATAAATCTAGATAGCCGTATATATCACTATATAACTATATATATTCAATAACTCTACATAACCATATATAAATCTATATAACCGTATATAACCCTGTTTTACTATATATAATTAATAACACAACATAACTATGTATAAATCTTTATAACCTTCTAACTACCACTAGATTAAACTGGTTGATCTAATCGCCTCTGTGGCTCTAAACTATAAAGCGCTAAGCGCACAAGATTGAGGATTGTCACAAACTATATATAAATCTATATAGCCCTATATATCACCATAGAATTAAATATAATCAATAACTCTACATAACTATATATAAATCTTTATAAACGTATATATCACTATATAACTATATATAAACAATAACTCTACATAACTATATATAAATCTATATAACCGTATATAACACTATATGACTATATATATTCAGTAACCCTACATAACAATATGTAAATCTATATTACCGTATATAACACTTTATAACTATATATAATTAATAACTTTACGGAACTATATATAAATCTATATAACCGTATATATCACTATATAACTATAAATAATCAATAACACTATATAACTGTACATAAATCTATATAACCGTATATAACACTATATGACTATATATAATCAAATACTATACATAACTATATATAAATCTAGATAGCCGTATATATCACTATATAACTATATATATTCAATTACTCAACATAACTATATATAAATCTATATAACCGTATAAAACACTACATTGCAATAAAATATCAATAACTCTACATAACTATATATAAATCTATATAACCGTATATATCACTATAAAACTATATATAATCAATAACACTATATAACTATATATAAATATATAGAACGGTATATAACACTATATGACTATATATATATACAATAACTCTACATAACAATATATAAATCTATATAACCGTATATAACACTATATAACTATATTTATTTATTTTTGAAGGATGACCAAAAAAGATAAACTTGTGGATAGGCCACCCTTAACTAAAATTTCTAACTATAGATGTAACAGAAATGTCATGAAATACATACACATAAACTCACGCTCACACATACTTACAATCACGCACCATACTACAATTCATATCACAATACTCTTATACAGAACTGAAGAAACAAAATCAATGAAATGAAATGATCTGGAAACCAAACGTACTCTCACTTACACACTCAAATAAATAGACACATAAACAAATATGGCCACACACCATACACATATAGGGCGTGGCCACATGTCTCAGGGAACAGCCGAGTGAATGGACATCTTACACATAGATATGTGCTCCTCCACATACACCCCCGCTGTACCCTGGTTAACGCTCCTAGAATACAATATTTATATACATATATACACATATCTACACATACACATGCACACACGCACACACACAGACACACGCACACTCACACACACATAAACACGCACACTCACCCAAACACACACACGCACACTTACCCACACACACTCTCACGCAAGCACTCCCGCACACACACAAACACACACACACACAAAGTATTTCGCTCAATCAAAAATTTTTCGACTTTGTTTTTAAATAAATGTTTTTGACATGTATTTTAAATTTCTGTGTTAATAATTTCATCCCAAACTTTTGGACCAGAAATTTTTAAGCTATTATTTATTATTTTCAATTTAGAATAACTGGGATAAAAAATTGATGCATTCCTTAATACTTTAGTTTGGATCGAGCTTCTTAAGTTGAAGAAATGTTTAAAAAACAACGTGAGTTCACAGTGTACATATTTATACATAAAAAGAGCTAAGGTATACAAGTGGATATTTTTAACATTTAAAATTTGTAAAATATTGTAATAATTAGAAATATGGCAGCGAGGATGAAGATTGAAAAAGGGACGGATGAAACGGTTTTGGCTAACGGAAATGTGTTGCAAGTGTAAATTTGGACTGTTTCCCCACAGCAAATTACAGTACGTTAGGTTTGGGTAAATAAGGGTATAATATAATTCTAATAATACACTTTTTGTTATTTTATTTTTAATTTTATATAATATACCTATTGTTTTATTTATTTTTTTGGAGATAAAATTAATGTGCGAGTCCCAAAATAAGTTATCGTTGATGAAGATACCTAAAAATTTTGTTGAGCTCGATCGATGTATAGGATTACCATTGATTTGTATATTTAAGTCTGTGATACAATTGGTTAGTATTCTTGGTCCAAATATCATATATGTGCACTTTGTATAGTTTATTATTAAATCGTTAAAGGTAAACCAATTGGCGATGGATTGAATTTCATTGTTGATAAAATTTAAATCTTTGTTAGGTTCTTTAGTATGAAAGTATATAGTCGTGTCATCAGCAAATAATAAAAATTTAGCTGATGTAGTTATGTGGCATAAATCATTTATAAATAAGGTAAAAAGTATTGGTCCTAATATAGAGCCTTGTGGAACTCCGCAGTTAATCTGGAGCCTTTCTGATTCATAGGTTTCGATTGAGACATATTGTTTTCTTTCTCCAAGGTAAGAGGAAAACCATCTATATGCAACTCCTCTTATACCGTATGAATAGAGTTTTCTTAACAGTTTTTCATGGTTTATTAGATCAAATGCCTTTGATAGATCTATAAAAATTCCTAATGTGAAGATCTTTTCATTCAATTTTTCCATCACTCTCTGCGAAAATTCTACTATAGCAAGCTCCGTTGAGTGGTCTGCTCGAAATCCATACTGACTTTCATGAATAATATTTTTAAACTGTATAAAAGATTTTAATCTCTAGCACATCAATTGTTCTATAATTTTTGAAATAGGCGAGAGAAGAGAAACAAGGCGGTAGTTAGATATATCTAACCGATCTCCTTTTTTGTAAACTGGTATTACTTTAGCGGTCTTAAAGCATTGAGGAAAGTAGCCTTGTGAGAAAGAAAGTTTGCATATGTATGTTAAAGGCTTTATTATTTCATTAATCATCTGTTTGATTAAGTAATTACTTAAGTTATTCTGAGAAATACTTGTTTTGTTTTTCATATTTTTAACTATATTTAAAATTTCTATTTCATCAACTGGTCTTAAAAAGATGGATTGACATAATGAATTTGCAATTTTAAATTTATCATGATAATGTTTGGGTTTATTTTGATTATCCAATAAAGTTTTGGCAATGTTGATGTAGTAGTTGTTAAATTCATCACATATTTCTTTTTTATTTTCTATTAAATTATTATCAATTTTTATGCTACTTATGCTAAATGTATTCTTTTTCCTATTAAGTATATTGTTTATAATATTCCATTTTTTTTGCATCATTTTTGGCGTCTAGGAACTTTTTATTAAAATATTTATTTTCGTTATGGCGTTTAAATGTTGTAAATTTGTTTCTGAACAGTTTATATTTATTTAAATTTTCAGTTGTCGGATTAAGTAGATATTTCTAGTACAATTTATACTGTTTATTCGACATTTTTAAAATATCATTTGTTATCCATGATTTTTTGTTTCTAGGTTTATAAGTTTGGAAAGGAGCAAACAGTTCAAGTGAGTTATTGATTATGTTGTAGAAGGATAAGCAAGTATTATCGAGATTACGATCATTCATTAAAGGAGTCCAGTCAGCTGCTGCAAGATGGGTTTTAATTTGATTTACAGTTTTTTTACTTAAATTTCGCTTATTAACAAGTTGATGAGAACGGTTTAGCAGATTTGTATTATTAGATATTGAGTATATAAGAAAGTGATTGGAGAAGTCTGAGATGATTACTCCACTATTAAAAGATTCAGACGAATTTGTGAATATAATGTCAATTAGTGACGCTGTAGAAGGAGTAACACGAGTAGGAGATTCTACTAGCGGAATATAACCATAAGAGGACAATAAATTTTCAAACATTATTATGTTTTGTGAGTTTACGTTTAGCAAGTCAGTGTTAAAGTCGCCAACAATATAAGATTGTTGAGTTGGCTTTAGCGCACCCAAAACCAGTTCAAGTTTATTTAAAAAATAATTAAAATTAAGTCTGGCGGACGATACAAGGCAATCACATTTGTTGACTTATAGAAAAAATTTGATTTTATATTTATGCATAACATGTCTACATATTCATCATTAAATACACTATCATCACAAACAGAGCAATCAAAACCACTTTTTACAAATATACCAACTCCACCACCCTGTCCAACATCTCTATTTTTATATATAAATTTATAATCAGGTAAGTTTATGCAATCAGCCGTATTTTCATTCAACCAAGTTTCACTTATCACAATAATATTAAAGAAGTTATAAAATTGATCAGATAATATGTTAAGTGCTGACATTTTATTAACTAAGCTACGCGCATTTATATGCAAAATCGATATATTGTTTTGAACTAAATGTAATTGAGGTTTGATTAAATTATTGATAATAATTTCAGATGTAAAATACTTATAATCTTTAAAAACAGAGTTTAATAGATAGTTATCAGTTGTTGCCTCCATGATTGACGTTGTTGTTGGCCGAAAGTTTCCATCTTTCTTCTTACTTGCTGACATGTTGTAATCCCACTCGCTCAAGAACGTGTGCATGAGCCATATGTCAGGATTAACCAGTTTCTCACGTTCATTCAAAGGTATTATAATTTTGAAAGCCGTCGATTCCGTTGTTTGACTTCTCTCTACCAAAGGATCATCCATTTCTTACGGAGTACAGGAAAGCATTGTAGAAAAGCTATGTTGTTTTGTTTCAGATGGTCCTCAATTATATTTTTGTTGCATGTACTGACATTTCCGATATAATAGGTAATTTTTTCCTCTATTATTTTCGACGCTTTCAATGGACAGCTGATGCCAGTACCGTAGGTTTTCATTTGTTTTGAAGCTGGTTTTGACGCAGGTTTTGGGGATGTCAGTTGTGGAGAGGTTGACGATTTTTTTCGTTTCTTACTTCTCACCACTTGAAAACCATCGTCGCCGACTATTTCATCACACGACTCACTTTGCGACGTGTAGCGTTTAGCGGTTCTGTCGGCCCAAGATTTTTTACTAGCGCAGTTGTCAACGTTATCACCTGAAAGAATGCTTGCGCTGTTTACACTTTCAATACGCTGCAAACGACATTTACCGTTATTGCTTTGTTGTTCACATGTGTTACACGTTCGTGCACTATCGCTTCTATTATTCAATTGTTTAGCTAATTGCACAATCAATTGTTTATTTTTCTCTATTTTATCATTTAATTTAATTAAATTATCATTAATATTTTTGCTATTATCTCTCGCTAGACTTAAGGTATTCGGTATATATTATATATTGTAAATGTAGGCAACAGGTCCATCAAATTATTATCAAAACATAATTTAATTAGTTCCAAAAGTTCACTAACTTTATCATATTTGGTATTACCACGAGCCGTTAACTTAATTATATCTTTTTTTAAACCTTCTATTTCAGTTAATAAAATTTTTTTACCATTAAGTATTTCATCATTAGTATAGAATTCTACAACTTCCAATTTAAAACCCACGTCATTTATATTTTCTTGATTATTCAACAAAAACCATAAAATTTCCGCAATACAAACACGCTTAGCCGCCATTGAGATTTGATAGCACCACTCTGTTTATGCATCGAGTGGTGCTATCAAATCTCATTTAAACTCAACACACTGAATGACAATTAGCCGTGAAATGAGTGGTGCTTTGATTCATTCGGAATCAAAATATGGCCTTATTTACATCATGAATTCGAAAAATAAGTTTATTTTGAATTTTAATAAACTAAACGTTCACCAAAAAACTTTAGTGAGAAAAATAAAAAACGAACTACAAACATATTACCGACAAACATTCGGTAGAATTTATAGAATATTGAAAAAATTATGGTCTATTACCAACATAAATATATAACTATATATAATCAATAGCTCTACATAACTTTATATAAATCTATATAACCGTATATAAAACTACATTACAATACAAAATCAATAACTCTACATAAATATTTATAAATTTATATAACCGTATATATCACTATAAAACTATATATAATCAACAACACTATATAACAATATATAAATATATATAACCGTATATAACACTATATGACTATATATAATCAATAACTCTACATAACTATGTATAAACCTAGAAAACCGTATATAACACTATATAACAATATATAAATCTTTAAAACCGAATATATCACAAAATAAATATATATAATCAAAAACTCTACATAACTATATATAAATCAATATAATCGCATATATCACTGTATAACTATATATAATCAATAACTCTACATAACTATATTTAAGACTAAATAACGGTATATAACATAATATAACTATATATAATTAATAACACTACATAACTATATATAAATCTATATAATCAATAATTCTACATAACTATATATAAACCTAGATAACAGTATATAACACTATATAACTATATATAAATTTTTATAACCGTATATATCACTATAAAAATATATATAATCAATAACACAACATAACGATATATAAATCTATATATCCGTATATTTCGCTATATAACAATGTGTAATCAAAAACTCTACATAAAACTATTTAACCGTATAGAAAATAATATAACTATATATAGTTAATAACACTAAAAAACAATTTATAAATCTTTGTAACCTTCGAACTACAACTAAACTAAACTGGTTTTTCTACTCGCCTCAGTGGCTCTAAACTATTAAGCGCTAAGCGCTTAAGTTTTAGGATCGTCACAAACTATATATAAATCTATATAACGGTATATAACACTATATGACCATATATATTAAATAACTCTACATAATTATATATAAACCTAGATAACCGTATATAACACTATATAACTATATATAAATCTATATAACCGTATATATCACTATAAAACTTTATATAATCAATAACTCTACATAACTATATATAAGTATATACAACCGTATATAATACTACTTAACTATCTATAATTAATATTTCTACATAACTATATATATTTCTATATAACCTTTTAACTACCACTAAACTAAACTGGTTTATCTAATCGCCTCAGTGGCTCTAAACTATTAAGCGCTAAGCCCATTAGTATGGGGATAGTAACAAACTATATATAAATTAATATAACCGTAAATATCACTATATAACTATATATAAGCAATAACATTATATAACTCTTTTTAAATCTATATAACCGTATATATCACTATAAAACTATATATAATCAATAACACTATAAAATTAAAAACAAATCTATATAACCGAATCTATCACTAAATATAACTAAATATAATCAAAAACTCTACATAAATCTATATAACTGAATATATCACTATACAACTATAAATAATTAATAATTCAACATAACCTTACATAAATTAATATAACCGTATATAACACTCTATGACTATTTATATTCAATAACTCTACTAAACTATATTTAAATCTATCTAACCGTAAATAACACTATAAGACTATCTATATTAAATAACTCTACATAACTATATATAAATCTAAATAACCGTATATATCACTATATAACTATATATAATCAATAACTCTACATAACTATATATAAAACTAGATAACCGTATATAACATTATATAACTATATATAAATCTTTAAAACCGTATATATCACTATATAAATATACCACTAATCTAAACTGGTTTATCTAATCGCCTGAGTGGCTCTAAACTATTAAACTCTAAGCGCATAATTTTGGGGATCGTCACAAACTATATCAAAAATTATTATAACCGTATATATCACTATTTAACTATATATAAGCAATAACATTATATAACTATATATAAATCTATATAACCGTATATATCACCATATAACTCTATATAATCAATAACACTATATAACTTAATACAAATCTAAAAAACCGTATATAAAAAATATATAAAACCGTATATATTAAATATAACTATATATAATCAATAACTCTACAAAACTATATATAAATCGGTATAACTGTAAATATGAAATAACATAACCGTAAATATTACTAAAAAACTATATATAATCAATAACTCTACATAACTATATTTAAGAATAAATAACCGTATATAACATAATATAACTATATATAATTAATAACACTACATAACTATATATAAATATATATAATCAATAATTCTACATAACTATATATAAACCTAGATAACCGTATATAACACTATATAACTATATATCAATCTTTATAACCGTATATATCACTATATAAATATATATAATCATTAACTCTACATAACTATATATAAATCTATATAACCGTATATATC